TTTAACAGACCAAACGCTCAAACTGTACAATTATTCAACAAAATTTCCCTCATTTCGTGATGTGAGAAGAAACGTTCAAATATGGTTCAACAAACAAAATTGCTAGGAGAATGTGTGAAATATGAAGCGTGTGGCAGCTGGGCAAACACTAACCGGTCTTTGCTCGGAATGGCCCAGTGGTGATCCAACAAACTCTTGCGCCGCTCCTCGAGGGTGGAACGAGTGCTGGAGAGGCCCAGGCCGGTCTTCTTGTCTTCATCGTCTTGAGCGTCAGTCTTAGCGCTATCTTTGGCTTCCGTAGATGAGTCCTGGAGCAAAATCAATCAAATAAGTTTGTACAGGAGATTATGTGATTCAAATGTTTACCTCCACACGTTCGCGGTCGAAGGCTTTGGGAAAGGCGTCGCCATCGCGTCCAGTGCTGGAGCAAAGCGACTCCTGGTCGTCGGCAATCTCCAACGATCCAATTTCAGCTGTTATGGAAATAGGCATTAAGACTTTAAGTTTGGAAAATAGTTTTTAAACAACTCACCATCCAAACGCTCTTTGCCGTCCTCGCCCAGCAGCGGCTGCTGCTCGGACAACTCCTTGGAGTCCTCCTCGACTAATACTGGTTTGGGATAATATATCTCCGGCTTCTCGGCGTCGCCCGACCCGGAGCTAAGGCCTTGCCCTGCTCCTCCGGCCACCCGCATGTGCGCAATGTCGTGGAAGATGGCGGCGTTGACCACCAGCTCCATGGGCGCGATGACGCCATAGCTCTCCGGGCCGTGCTCGATGACCAGGGGATCGCTGACATTGGGATCGAACATGACGGCGTTGGGCGTGACCAGAAGGACGCCGCCCACCACGCCCTGTCCGTCCGTGATGTGGCGCACATTGATCTTGAGGAAGCGCTGGGTGATCACCGGATCGTCGCTCTTGTTGGCCTCCTCCTCCGCCTGCTGCTGGCTGCTGCCGCCCACGCGTTCGATGTGTCCGGGCTTGGGGGATCCGGGGCGCAGGCCCTCGAGTATGTCTGCAAGGAACGGCATTTAATTAACACAATGACTCTGGTTGCGAAAAATATAATATATTGGTCTGCAAAAAACGGCGTTTAGTTAATATAATATATTGGGGGCGAGTGGTTTTCGGAGGGCTTTTGCTAGGCTGTGATTTTTATCAACTACACCCGTGCCCGGCGATAAGATAGTGAAAGCAAAATTGATATATGGGATAGTTTAAACTAAATCTGCGCCTTGTGACCTCCTTTGTTGTTCTAAGTGTTACGACGGGTAATGGGAACGGCATTTTTACGATTTTTCCAGGCAGGTAAGGTGAAAAGCGTAAAAAGATAACTTGCAGGGTGCACTTTATTTTCAGTAGCTCGTGCGCTGAACGTATTTTTGAAAATGATTTAAGCAGATGGTTTTGGACCTCATAATTACTGTGTACATTTGGAGAAATTTTGAAATATTTAAGCATTTGTCACGAGACCTGATAAGGCCATGCATTTTTAATAGTAAAGTTTTCACTAATATTCATACAGCTCTACCGGTTCTAACTAGTTATAATAAATGTTATTATAGATTAGAAAAAATAACAATTTTAAAGTAAATGGTTCCTAGCTAGGTCGGCAAGTTTCTAGATATAACCCATCGCTCAGTAACGAAGATGCGATTTCCGGGGATAAGGCCGTGAAAACGTGACCCGTGGGTAGCCGTTTGTTTCCGGAAAACCTGGATCGTTCAAGGCCAGTAGTTTGTCAACCGCAATTAGCACTTGTTCACAGCTCGTTGCGACAACAATGGTAAGAAAAACAAACAATAACCTCCATTGCGCCAGAAGACAGCGGTGTGCATGCTGAAATTGCAGATCTTGAGTTCGTCCCACTGTCCACTTTTAGACCATCCACATTCAAGGCACAAAAGCTCGTTAACTTCACAAATTCAACCTGATATCAGGAGTTCTAATTCGTAAAACAACACGTTATATTATTAAAAAAAACATTGGACTGCAGTGTGACCAGATGGGGATGCCCACTCGACATCCGCGAATTCCCTAAAAAATGTAGGCATAAGTATCTCTTAACAGACTGTTAACATGAGCCACTTTTAACAGGGCGCAATATACCAAATTCACGAATGTAAAATAAGGGGATTCCAAAAAATGTTGAGAACTATAAGCGGTAGTTTTAAAATGCCGAACCTTCTTAACTTGTTAAACCTAAAAGGAACAGTTATTTTAGTGATAGTGGGATATAATAAATAATACATTGTACAATACTCAATGGCAATGTGCGTTTACATTTGCATGTGTATTAAGAGATAAGTGTGAATCCCCGGTTTATCAAGGACTAACAATTTTCTTAGTATCGTACAATGTTTTCTCAACTACATTTACATAAAAAAATAAAGATTGAGTGTTTGGTTTCCTAACAGATTTAAATGAATTAATTAACAGAATAAATGAGCAATTTTAAACTAATTACTTGTTAAAAGGGTGCACCTGGTTCTTTTGATTGGTTTTTCGACCTGATGGCATGCAGAGCTCGTGCAACTAAAAATCTCAAGCGGCGATGATGGCAAATGCTTCACTATCGTCGCACCAATTGCACCATTTCCACGGAGCTTACCTTTCTCGCGGCTCTCGTCGCCGGACAACTTGCGCTCGACCGGACTCGATTTCCCGGACAGGCTGCCTCCGTCCAGGTCGTGGGTGGAGCTGCTGGAGGCGTCGTCCTTGTCCTTGGCCTTCTTGTCGGGCACCAGCAGCTGCTGGCCTGGGTAAATGAAGGAGCTGTTCAGCCGGTTCAGGTGGGTCAGCTCCGAGGGAGTAGTGTCGAATCGGGCGGCCACGGAGGTCAGGGTGTCGCGATTGCCCACGGTGTAGGAAATGGTGGGTATGGTGGGCAATGAAGACTTTTGCCCTGCGAAACGAAAAGAAATGATAATTAATAACATTCGGTGGCGAAACGTGGTCGTTTGTTTGGTTACTCGGCGGATGGGTTTGGATTGGAACTGGGGGGCGCTGCTCAAAGACCTCGAACAAATCGCCATCTGGTCGCAGGTGCGAGAAAACAACACCTGTGGGCGGAACCTGCTGCCGGCAGAGGTAGATAACCGAGAACTCGTTCGTCGGCAGGTGCCAGTATATCTCAATCACTTCCAGCATTTTCCACTGAATTACAAGAATTTATCCTCCGAAATGCTGGCTCATCTCTTCTGTCAAGCTGTCATCGCATCATCTGTGCTGTTAGCTTGGGCGCGCTTTTTCAAACCCTAACATTCTGCAACCGAACCGTGCGAAAAGCCAGAGCAACTGGCTAAGGAAAATCACGAACTCAAGCCAAACAGAACTGTTATCAAGCTAACTATGATACGGAAAAGCACGATAAGAATTAGTTTGTAGGTAACCCCCCGTTTGCCACACAATATTCAGCAGTGACTCAGATAACCAGCGACTTGGTTATTTATGCGATCGATGATACGAAATATTGACAAACGTTGGTTCCATTTAACCCTTGAGTTATTGCCGAGTAATAATGATTTAGCACGAATTAAAGATTTCAAAAGGTAAATACCAAATTTATAATTTGGCTTCCTAAAATTAAGAAAAATATATTCTTTACACTTATTCTTAAAAAAAAAAACGAATTAAATCATCATCTCTTTATGTTTTTTTAAAATAATAGTAATTTTTTTTATACCGTTGACTTGCTAGTAATCTTATCCGAACTATTGATGGTGGAAAATATAGATATATAGGTACAGTATTGATATTAAACGCAAAGATCGATGTTATAAACTTGACATTGTTATAAATTTTAAAAAAGAATTTTCCAAAAAATATATTCGGTGAAAAAAAAAAATTAAATAACGTTTTTCGAATAGTTTTTTGATGATATTAATATATCAACGTTAATTCGATATTTTTCGATTTATAACATTTCGATATATACAAAATTTTGGTGTGTTTATATCGAACTTTTCCTCGGTATATGTACATCCCTATGTAACTATGGTTTCTCTGCTACGTCCTTATTTTTATCTACATCGAACGAAAAAAACGGCACCAGTGTTTACATGGCATTTTACTCTATGCCGTTCGTGTAATAAGCCACAGCGACACCTAGCGGCCAAGTTATCTACACGGGCTTTCAAGCGCAGTCATATAGGTGGAGCTATTTAACAAGTAAAAGTTGAGCAAGACCTTTGAAATCTGGAATATGAGGAGCGGCAGTTCCTCGTTAAACTACTTACAAATAATGAACCCGTATTTATGTTAATTTAAAATTATTTAATATTTATGTATTTTTTTCTGTTGTCTATAAATGTGGCAGTTCACTTCAAGGATAAGTCTTCGACTTGAGAGATATTAAGATGGAATGTTATTTTACCAATACCAAGTTAGTTAGTAGGAATTAGTTTTGCGATACTCACTTGATAGTTTGTCGACGCTCTCGAAGCGCTGCTCCACTTTCGAGCGGAGTGAGTCCAGGTCAAACGGAGCCGCAAGGCCGTGATCCACGCTGCGCGATTTGCTCCTGAAAAAGTCACAAAACGCCTGTAAAATCTACTTTGAATGGAATATTTGGGGTTTGTAGCGATCGGAGCGCAATCTGTTGCGATCCTTATCACTTACAAATTTCCAGCTCGAATTGTGACCATAACTGGGTAATAACAATTTATTTATTGGCTGCCCGTTTGCCTTTTTTATTCAACCTTTTTGTTGTGTATTTGCTATCGTTTTGTAAAGATTATCTTGACAATCGGCGGGTGTCCAAATAAGGCAAAACGACGTATTTTAAGTGTTTTTCTAAACGGTTCGATTTGTTTTTTTTTTAAATAGCCTTTAAACGATTGGGGAGAAGTCACGATATTCATTTGACTTGTCCTTAAGATGCTTCGAGATTAATATAATTAATGGCAGCATTCAATGTAAATAACCCAAAGTTTGATTTAAAATATGGTTTTGAATAACTCGGCCTTATAAGAAGGCCTTGACCTGGCAATCTATCCTTGCTATATAGTGCTTGTTTGTCAACCGAATAATTTCTCTTTACTGCGAACCCCTAAAATCAACGGCCATGGCGGAATACACTCGTGAGCCGTGTCCCTTTCGCATTATCGAGGATTGCGGCGGAGCCTTCGCTATGGGGGCCCTGGGCGGAGGAGCTTTCCAGGCGATCAAGGGCTATCGTAACGCCCCCGCCGGTCTGAAACACCGACTGAGCGGGGGATTTGCGGCGGTACGGGCCCGCTCCGGTCTGGTGGGCGGGAACTTCGCGGTGTGGGGCGCTACGTTCAGCGCTATCGATTGTACCCTAGTCTACTACCGGAAGAAGGAGGACCCGTGGAACGCGATAATTAGTGGGGCGGCCACTGGAGGTATTCTGGCTGCTCGCACTGGTGAGTTTTTTGCGTCCTTTCAGGTGATTTAGGGGCTCGAGGCAGATGACTAGCGCTCATGTTGGTTTTTGTGGAAGCAACATCTGACTGATCAACTTGTTTATCGTTGCCAGTACATTGATATTAGCACAGTTCCAAAGATGCTTATGCCAATTTAAATAACCCTAGTTTCTGGTCGAGGCTTTTCTTAGATGATGCCATTGCTATAAAACATCCCTAAAATGGGGTCTTACTGTCTCTTCCCCAGGACTTACTTCCATGCTCAGCAGTGCCTTGGTGGGCGGAGTTCTTTTGGCCCTGATCGAGGGCGTGGGCATTGCGGTGGCCCACTACTCGGCGGATTCCTACCGCCAGGTGTCGCCCGTGGAGCGGCAGGAGATATACAGGCAGCAGCAGAAGGACTTTTATCCCTTTGGCGCGGACTATGCAGAGGTAAGTGGGATAGCCATCGCCTCCAGAAGAACACCCCTTTCTACAACTTGCACTCTTCAATTCCAGGCTGATCCGTCGTCATTGTAGAATTCTTCGCTGCGTCATCGCATAGACGTCGCTATCCATCCGCGATCCGTAGATCGACTACTGCATACCAATTTGATACGAACTTACTTTGATTGTTCAACGACAACGCCTCCAAATCTGAGACTGGCGGCATTCCGGTTTCAATTTAAATTCAATTGTCGTACTTTGCAAGTTTTAGAATCATAAATATATTTTCCTTTCGTTTCTTGTTTGTTTGTTTCGGCATTTTAATAGGCACAGTCTGAAGTCGATTCGAAGTGTCGTGGCGTTTTGGGAGGCGCGTGTGCTTCCTAGCTCCATACTTGTGATTCCATATTCATTCGGGGCTGCCTGCCCGAACCCCTTGGATCCAGATAGAAGTTATCTACAGTCGGCAAGCAAGAATTATTTACTACCGACTTGATATACGATCGAGGATTGCTGCGCTTGTGCGGTTCCCAAATAGATAAACGCGGTGTTCATTCTCGCACCTAAACTTTGGGGCTTTTAATATATTTGCTTATTTTATTTGGAGTTTTTCATATGATGAGCATAAATTTCGGTATTAAAACTCAACGTGATTACCATCTTTTGTTTTTTAAGTATTTTATGCATTATCTGGTAAACATTTTATTTAATGCTATTACCTTGCATAAATTCATTCAAAAATTTACTATATTTCGTTCAACCATTCTAGATCATTATGTGAGCTATTTCATTTGATATTTAATCATTGGTATGTCCTAAGAATATCTTTCACATTTTCGCTGCATGATTTTCTTTTACCCACGGCTCATGTTTTCCTGCCGTTTTGTGTGTGTGTGACGTTTTCCCTATTATTGCGGCCCCTTTGATTGGCAAAACTAATTTCCGTTGCGATTTCGGGCGGGAAAGTAAGTTTTCCTCTGCCAAGATAGTTGTATCACAGCAAAGTGAGTGACAACTACTTGCCGAATTGACAGAGGGGGAAACATTCGTGAATATAAATATATTGAGACTTCTTTCTGCCGATCAAGCCCCTATCCCCAGAAATAATAAAAAATTATTTGCGCGTGTCTTTCACTGCGCTGCCAATTAGTGAGCAAACGGCGATAACCATAATTGAATATCAATGATAAAGTATAAATATGCGAGCGGGTAGAATAATTGTTCGCCCGAAGCTTTCAGCTGGCGCATGCAAAGTGCTTTTGTTCGAGGATAAACACTGAACGGCAAATACTAAATAATTATTTAACGCATTTTTGTCGCCCACTCGCTATTTGTTTTCCCCTGTTTAATTCCAAACCATATTTGCCAGTGAGAATTTTCCATGGAAAGTCTGGAAACGGCTGTGCAGCTGAAAAAACCTTTCCGAGACCAAACAAGAATGCCAGCTTTATCACTGAGGATAGGCCTATTCGAGTGAAAACCCTTGCAAAAACAATGTCTGGCCGAAACAACTGTGTTTGATTTTAAGTTGCGTTTGGCGACAACCACGTTGTTTAGGTATTTAAATTTAAATTATTGAGTTCAGACAGCGACCTAGCAATGGAATCACATTTGCACAGTTGGCTTTCGCGTTAATATGGAAAAGCATTTTGCTTTTGTTCGGCAAGTAAACATGGGTAATTGTAAATGACATAAATATTATTCTCGGAGGCTGAATTTATTTTTCGCATTCTTCAAGGCGAGCCAAAACGGGCAGTATCACCTAGTCGAAGATATTAGGTGGTTCAGATCCGAAGATACTGTGCGAAGAGAAAGGAATCTTTGATTTAGACGTCTTTCTGCGAATGCATGTCGTACCGCCGATCAAATCCCATAAATTACCTGCGCTAATCCCTGTAACTAATCGTGGCGAGTTGTTAAATGGCCCAGACACGCTTCCACATAAACCAGTTGGACACACTAAATAAAAAATAAACTGACGCATACCTGGGTGCTTTTCCACATTTCCCACAAAGTCGAGTACTAGGAATATTACACAAAATTGCAGGAATGCGACGTGTCATAAACAGCCAGAGGGCACTCAGCAAAGCCAATGAGGCCCGAGTCATTCAGGGCTCGACCACTGGGGGTACATAGGTATCTTATCGCTGTTGTGCATTGTTTACCTTCGGATATTTGGCCCTGGGCTGTGATCAGTGGCATGAACACCAAAAACAGCAGTAGCCGTTTTACTGGCACAATTCCACCAGGCCAAGTGTCAACAACCCACGGGGGTGCTACCTGAGGCACTATTTTACTTGTTTCTTTCCATGGATCATATCGAATCGTAGACAGCGAGTGACTCAGTTTTACTACGTATACGCAATGTGCGACGCACAACACCATTAAATATTACCGATTACTACAGTTGTGAAATTGATAATAAAATTTTGTATTCTAGGTATTCTGATCTTGGCTATCCTATTGTCGAAATGGAATATTTACAATCGCGTTTTCAGAAAACTGCCTTATCTCACACCCTTCAAAGCGCGGATTTTATCTGTCGACATCAATTAAACACAGCCATTTATTTATACTTATACGCGACTTATAAATTATCAAAAATTGTTAATAAGACGACAGCGAACATTAAGATTATCTATAAATAATCTGAGACCGAGTGTAATTTGCGCGCTCGCTTTATAAATTATCAATATTTGCTGCCTGCCGTTTTGGTTTAGTTTTTGCTCAGCTTATTTACCGACCGCAAAATAATTTATTGTGGCAATCGATTGGCCTGTTCGAAAGTTCATAAATTGCCAGCAAATTGGCTTCGAGCTATGGTCACAATTCGCTGAAAGTCAAGTATATGGTTATTTCTTAGTTCTAAAAATGCAAAAGTTATCATACATGAGCGTGCAGGTGGGTTAAATACAGGCGGGCCATGCAACATTCAACAGCGACACATAGATTCAGATAATTATGTCATGCAGGTGCGTCAAAGGCCTTTCTACACATAAGTAAGTTTACTGGATGTGGCTCTGGCTCATTTGCATTTGTGTGGATGGGTGGTTGGGTGGTGGGTGGTGGGTGTGGGGTGTTTCTATGGGCAGGTGGACTCGTTAGTTGCAACTTACCTGCGCACGGGAATCGCCAAATTGTCAACGCTGCGTGACAAACTGGAAACATCTTGACTAGCCCTACGTGACCTGGCACGTTCGCAAATCATAAGGAGCACATCGGGGCAGGCGGACAAAACCAATTAAATGAGCAAATTGTGCCAAAACAAATACAGTAGGTCCAACGAAATAAACGGAGAAAATAATATGGTAAATAAAAATATGTAATTACGAAATGGTAAATTCAAAGTACACACACACTGCAGTGTATCTCGCCCGAATCGAGCGAGTTTAACAAACGCCAGTTTTCGGAATGCACACGTAGAGGAGGAATTCATCGGATCCCAACCCCGAATCCTCCCGTCTAATTGCCCACCATATGGTTCGCCACATATCTACATGGGTAAATGTCTGTGGGGAGCACGTGGTTTAGCCGACTTTGAGCTAATTGCTTTGGAATCGTCACGTCCAGAAAAAAGGCGAACCGGGTGAGGTCGTGGAAATAAATGGGTCTGACTTGGGGGACAATTTATATATATAGTATTCTTAATAATTTCTACCTTTCTATCAGTCTATTTGGTATTATTAAATCAAACAAAGTTTTTTTTTATAAAATCTTTAGCACTTTACATAAGACGATTTTCAAGAACTCTCATTTGTTTGCAATCAGTTGGTACTATCAGCATTATCAATATGCTCTTTAGTTTTACGCACTCCAAATCTCGTTAAAACAAAAGTCCAAATGAGCTGCAAAAAACACTTTAGCTTGTCAAGGGTGAACAGTTTATAGACCGATATGATACGAGTGCACAGAAAAATCCCACATTTTGCGACTATTTCAGTTAAGATTGCTGGAACTCAAGGTTTCGTATATACGCAAACCTAGTCACCCGAAAAGTCTCTGATACAGCCCATGGTCGAAACATTTGGCATAGACAGTTTATCTAAATTTGGGCAATTATCAAAATTCGTTGAATCGACTCAGAATTCGGGTTCAATAGGTGTCGAAGAAATTTATGGGAACTCTTTGTTAATTGGGTCAATGAAAATATATAAAGCCAGATATAAGCCATCAAGCAGACCATTAATAAATGAATTAAAAATCTTACTTTTATAATTTTAGTAGGTTAGAAACAGCAAATAAGATATTTTATTTAACGAAAGTGATTGGTGCTTTCATTTTCTTCGCTTTACAAAACCTGTTGATTTTACTTAACATTGACCCACAACGCCAAAAAGGCGAATCTCAATGAGCAAACAAAAGGGAATTCGGATGGTAGCGTGGGGAATAGGAGTACGTGCTCAAGATCATGCTTGGAGTGCTTAATTATAATGGTCTTCGGGCTTAAGCTCACCGGAAGTCAGTCTGAACCTCAAGAGATTTAATGTTTCCGCAAGATAATAATTTGGGAGGTTTTATGGGCTTTATAATATAAACAAATAGGTTCGGGGCTTTTCATTATTATTTTTAATCTACCTGTATTTTTTAACGATCTCAAGCACCAAACATTTTTTGGAAATAGGCTGACAAAAACGTTTGGGATCTAATCGAAAGTTTTTAACAACCATCATAAAGATACAAGTTATAAGGGATGTATATCGGTTACCAGGCAATTGTAGGCTAATGATTTTTTAATAGAATTCTGTAGTACCGCCCTTCCTTGAGAGAATCGTGGATATATACAATAGATACAAACTAGCTTACCAATAATAGTTTGATGTTATTATAACGTTCTGCATTTTGTATTCAGCTTATATGTCTTTCTTTTTCACTTGTTTATTGCTTTGCTTACACTGAAGTAGAAACAATATTAAACCCAAATTAAATGCAATTTCTGGGACGCCTTTGTACACAACTTAAGGGCTAAAACAATTAAAGGAAATTGATGAATGCTTTGGGGAAATATCGGATACCGATTAACTAGTCGATCAATCATAGCCGTAGCAGTTGACAGATGAGTGAGAGAAAAAGCGGAATGTGGCTAAAACAAACAAAAGATAAATTCACTTGACACTGTTGACTTTTAATGATTCAATTTGGCTGTCAGTGTTGTAGGGGCTGGAAAATATTGATGACAAAATTAATTAGCTTGTCGGAGGAGCCGTCGAGCAGGGAAAGCGCTATAAAATACGCCCAAAGTCGGCCCTTATCAGCCGGAGACTCAGCTGAAAATACGGGACAACAAAACTGACAGCAAAC